CTTCTAGAGTGAGTTGTGTGCAATCAGTTGTCTTCTTACTTGTTCCTAATTTCAATTTTAGATTTTCAGATCTAAGTTCTAGGACATTTGATTCAAATGCATGAACCTGGTTCTTTAGTGTTGTATTTTCACTTACGGTCTCACTAACTCTAAGTTCCAGGTTCTTATACTTTGCTTTTAAAATCACACATTCCTTAGACATCTGTTTCTTTTCATTGTTTATATCCTCAGATTCATCAATAAAATCTAGAAGTAACTCACATAGCCTTTCTTTAGACAAAAATTTAATCTTGTCTTTAAGATGGATTATACTTACTTCAGATTCCTCATCGGATTCTCCAATTGCCATAAGTGCTTGTTCATCTTCATTTTCATCATCTGAGCTTTCTCCCCAAGAAGCAACTGTAGCCTTTGTTGATCCTTTATTCTTCTTGGGATGAACCTGTTCCTTCTTTCTGTTTCTTCGTTCAGCTCTTTCCTTCTTCCATTCAATTTCCCATTGAGGGCAGTTTTTGATGCGGTGATCAGTTTTCCCACACTTGTAGCAGCCCTCATTGGTCTGTTTTTCAGGAACCCTTGGTTTTTTATAGCTTCCACTTCTTGAAGAACCCTTTCCTCTCATAAGGTACTTCTTGAAATCCTTTGTGATCATAGCCATTTCATCATCTTCTAGATCAGAACCTTCAGTGATTCCGAGAGCCAGACTCCTTTCCTTCTTGGGTACATCCATCTTCATGGTTTGCCTTCTAAGTTCATAAGCAGTGAGATTTCCAATTAGCTCATCCAACCTAAGAGTGGTAATGTTTTTTGATTCCTGAATAGCAGTGATTTTGCTTTCCCATGAGACTGGCAGAACCCTTGTCAAAATCTTCTCAACTTTGTCTTCTTCAAGAATAACCCTTCCAAGAGACTTAAGTTCATTTGTTAGTGTGGTGAACCTTGTATACATCTCTTGGATGGTTTCTCCTTCCTTCATAGTGAAATTGTCATATTGAGAATATAGTAACGTTCCTCTGGACCTCTTCACCTGAGGTGTTCCTTCATGAGCCACTTGCAAAGTGTCCCAAATTTCCTTAGCAGTAGTACAACTTTGAATTTTGTTGTACTCGTTTGGATCGAGTCCACAAACAAGCCATTTCTTGGATTTAGCATTCTTTTTCTATTTCCTCAAGTCGTCAGTAGTGCAATCAACTCTTATTTTTGGAACCTCTTCTCCTTCGGCATTTATCTTCATGGTAGCCAATGGACCATCTGTGACAATGTCCCATAGCTCATAGTCTTCTCCTATGATGTGGTCTCTCATTCTGTTTTTCCACCAGGAGTAGTGTTGGCCATTGAAGAGTGGTGGCCTAGTAGTGGATTGCCTTTCCCTGTTTCCAGGTGGAGCACTCATCTTGATCTTCTCCTAAGGTGTTAGCCTCTTCAAGGATAACCTGCTCTGATACCAATTGATATTTTATTCGTCAATATCATACAAGAGGGGGGTGATTTGTGTGGTGTCTAATTTTTTGCGTACACAAATTATAGAATGACCTGGTTCTTCTATGTGCTCCAACTACTACTGTTGCGGAATAATAAGTACAGAAATAAAGAACACAAAGATTTTTACGTGAAAAATACCTGGTTCAAAAGGTGAAAAAACCACGACTTACTTCCCAGTAGGATTTTTCCAAACTCTCCACTAAATCACTGAGCCAAAAACTGCATTTACAAAATATTTTTGTAAACCTAGGATTAACTCTAATCCCGTTGTGGCAACCAGCATCTAACTGCTGCGACAACTTCAAGTTAACTCTAACTTGAATACTCTGAGTACCTATTACAATTGCCTCTAGATAAAGCTGAAAGGTAAAATATGAAAACACCTACTACAATTGAACTAGATTAAAAGACAGACACTTGGAGCTGGTTCTTCTATCTGGTTCATATAGCTTCAGGTTCGTACACTTGAATCACACACGAACTGCTTGCAAAATGCCTTGCTATTTTACTCTCAATTCACGTTTAACTTCTGCTTTTGTGCGTTACCTGTAGAATGAGAACTTCCTGCGATTTATAGAGTTAGTAGAGTAGAAAACAACTAGAGTTCTAATGCTACTCTTCCTTGGTGGAAGAGTTCTAGTTGATNCTCTAACTCCTCCCTTATCTTGGATAATGTTCTCGTTGAGTAAGGAAACCTTTTCCTTATCAATTATGCAATCTTTTCAATCAGGAGATATCTATTATTATGCCAGATTTCGTTTATCTCCTGCATGTGCATCTCACGTGCTTAGAATCTGCCCGTGTCTATTGCTACCAGTGATGGACCTGGTTCATCCCTGAGTTCCTTTGTCAATCTTTAAAACTATCCTTTACTTGGGCCAACACCCATGATTCTTATTCTGTGTCCTTTGGTAGGTTATTCCAGCTTGATTGAATTGCCTGCCTATAAAAACTGACTTAAGAAGCCAAACTTGTTCATAAACAGCTGTGTACTGTATTGGTTTGCTCTAGTATTTATCCTCATCTACTGTTTCAAGTCTTGATTTTATTACTTTAGTATTGGTCATCAAGGCTGCTTACAGGGGTATATCATTCCTAGTAATTCATTGATTGGCGTGCTTGCTTTTGGCAATTGAATTTCATTACTTCAGTACGTTGTTGTAAACCCAAAAAAGAGAACATCACAAATGTAGAACAGCATAAGTGTAACGTCTGCTTCCACATCGAAATAAATCACCTTTCGTGCTTATGAAAAGAGACATGGCCAGAAAGCAGTGACAAGAGGTCAGTTGATTGACTGAGCACATTGAACATTAACATCGTGTTGGAATATCGTGTTGCTTCATAATCAAGGAGGATTTCGTTATTTCTGCTTTTGTTGTACCATTCAGATCTTCATTCTTATGGGTACTTGGTGAGATTTAGCATATGCGGATTTTCACAAGTGTTAGTGAGCTCATTAAATGTAAGAGTTAGTGAAAATTTCTTGATTCATTTGAGGATTTCTTGTATTTATTTGTGTGCTTGTTTTGAATCTTAATTGATAGAGTCAATGTGACAAGTCTACAATATTGAGCTCTACTTGGAAAACCTGATCTTGAAGGCTTGCACCGTATTTTCCTTCTTTTTGTTTTTCAAGTAATTATTCCATTAGCTTCTGTTAGTTTCGGGGATCACAATCACACAGTAAAGTATAATTGAATCACAAATGTATTCAGTAAAATAACATAACACCAAATCTGAAATAATTAAGACAACAAATCAAGAACGGAAATAATGCTATTTTCCCATTTAAATGATTAGCAATATGCATAATATAATATTGAGGGAAAACTAGAAGTAAAATGGTCAATTTGCTGGCCAAATCACACCTTGAAGGTGATTCGTTAGTTTTTTAGCTAATTATTCTTATGTTTTGATAGAGTTTAATGCCCCATTTGTTGGAATAAATTGGATAATTGTGCTTTGAATGGTATATTTTCAGGTTTTGAAGTTGTGTGACAACTTTGGAATTGGAGAATATAAAAAATGGACAAGAACTCATCACTTTGGAGTTAAAATTGGAGAAAAGTTAAAGAAAAAAACTTTTAAGCAGACCATTGGACACAATTGCTCCAATCGTTTGACACGGTTCAAGAGAAGGCAGAAGAGTTAAAGAAATGAAGCTTCTAGAATTCATTACGGTTCAACTGCATATCACGGTTGAGCTCGACGGGATGGACTCAAATAGCGGAAATTATCAGGAAGAGATAGAGTAGAAAGAGAGAGAGAGAGACATACCTGATGTTGGAGTTTGTGAAGATCCCAAATCTGCTGGTAACACGCAGGGGGGGAGTGGAGGTGGTGGATTTGTATCTAGAGTTTCATTAGGATATGAAGGATGTTGGGGGAGGGATTCTGCCGTATCAAGGTTGGGTGCAATTTCAGTGATTTTATTTTGTGTGGGGTTTATAATGGGTTGGGGCAATTCTGGAAATAAGGGGAATTGAGAGGTGGGTTTTGGGTGTTATCTATTTGTCTTTTTATCCCATTCAAGTTTATGTGATTTAAGTGCAATATTTGAAAATAAATTTTTGAAGGGAAAAATATTCTCAAAAAATTGCACATCACCAGATAAATTAATTTTTGATGACACATGATCAAAACACTGGTGGCAATGATGGGTTACAGAGAAACCGAGATAAGCACATGGAGTAGACCTGAGTTCAACTTTTTTCTTAGAATAAGGTTTGAGCCAAGGATAGCATAGACAACCAAAAATTTAATAGCATCATACTTGGGTATTTCACCAAATAATTTTTGAAATAGGGACTGGTTATTTAAAAGTGAGGTGGGAAGACGATTGATTAAATAAACAGCATGTTGACACGAACATGACCAAAATATTGATGGAAGAGATGCCTCATAAAGTAGCGTTCTTGCACTTTCAATAATATGACGATGTCATCTATCTGCAAGAGCGACCCTTTGAGGGGCATAAGGTGGTGTAGAAAGATGCTCGATATCGTGAAGGGAGAGATAGAAGTCAAGACTTTTATACTCCCCTCCACTATCAGTATAAAGTGATAAAATTTTAGTATCGAAGTGCTTTTCCATTAGAGGATGGAATTTTTGAAAAAGCTCTTTGACCTCACTTTTATTTTTTAAAGTGTACAACCATGTATACTGTGTGTATTGATCAACAATCAAGTAATAATATAATTTTTTATCAATTGATAGAACTGAAGAGGGTCCCATCAATCACAAATCACTAAAAATTATTTGAAGAGGTTTGGAACTTGTCAAACTCAACTGACTAAATGGTTGCCGATGGGCTTTAAGATGAACAAGACTTACAAAAAAGAAACTTATCTTGCTTAGAGAATGGAAGCGAAAATTTATTCAAGATATACTTAAGAACTCTAGAATGTGGATGACCTAGTCTTCGATGCCATGTGGTCATGGAAGCCATGGTAGAGGATATGTGAGCTTGAGGAGGTAGTGGTGGATATGACTTGGGCCACTCATGCAATCCATGTTTATTCTGGCCTCGCACCAGTGGTACTCGCGTTTTCAGGTCCTTCACAAGAAAATCAAAAGGAAAAAATTCGATAGATATTAGGATAAGCTTACGTTTGATGTTAGGATCACATAGAGTGTGAGTTAGATGAAAAACATTATTTGATGCTTTTAACCGAGTTGAACCAGTATGAGTTATGAGAATTTTGTTACCATCACCCATTGAGACATTCTCACTGCCATGATATTCCTGTAAATTGTGTGGCTCTGTTGTAAGATGATGAGTAGCTCCAGAATCCATAATCCATGGGTTGGCAGTAGAGGTGAAACCACAAGCATAATTAGCTTTAGCCTCAAAGTGATTATGAGATTTAGATCTGCGGACACTTGCAATGTGGCCAATTTTGTTGCACAACTGACATCAGATAACATTAGTAAAATTATTTTTATTCAGGGCTTACCACTGAGCTGGTGGATTGGAGCGAGCATTCTGGCGCCATGGTTGAGGATTCTGAGTAGGCGTACCATTATAGTTCTCACGACGATTGTTACGGTTGTTGTAATTATTGGTTGGTTTGTTGCGAGTGGCCACCACAATAGTGATTGGGCTCGACATTTTCTTAGCCTCCTCATGACGGAGAAAGAGCTCATGGTCAAGCAGCTTCTCATACAGTTCTTCATATGTGACTGTGGTGTCACATGCACGTATAGTAGTCGAGATCTCGCGAAACTCAGGGCCAAGTCCACTAAGAATTTTGACAATGAGTTCGGAGTTAGTAACATGGGCAACAACAGTGGCTAGTTTATTTGAAAGGAGCTGAATACATTGAAGGTATTCAGTAATAGGGAGGGAGTATTTAGTAATTCGGGCAAGTTAATCACAAAGGCTAAAGATCCGAGTTTGGGACTTGTTTGCATAAGCAGTATGCAAAGAGCCCCAAGCCTGTTTTGATGTGTTAGAAGCAACAACTGTGGAGGCAATGGTAGGATCAACAGACGCCATAAAGGCGTTATCCTGACGGAACCAAAGTGTATAAGCAGGGTTGGGGTTTATGTTGGTGTCAAAAGTGGTGCTCGAGGTGGGAATCGAGGTAGATCTATCAAGGTGACCATAGAGGTCATGTCCATGCATAAGTATGGAGAACTGAGCTTTCCAAGTGGAAAAATTATGAATGCCACTAAGTTTGATTGGCAGTTGGGAAGCGAGGTTGAATTGGACTATGGTGTTGATACCAGTAGTGTTGTCAACATTGATAACTCTGGAAGTGTTTCCATCTTTCGTCATTGGAGGATTTGGTGCTTGAAAAAAAATAGGATCGTACTCGTTAGAGTTGTATAGGCTCAGGTACCATATGAACACTTGAATAGATGATAGAAAAATGTATCTCTTATTGAATGCATAAGTGAGTTTAAATACAAGTTAGAGTAACCAACTTTCTAGAGTTTCATGTAAACCAAATAACTAAAGAATCCTATCTAAATCAAATAGATAACTCTGAAGAACTAACTATGATATCATCTAATCTAGACGATAAATGCAATCTAATCTAAAGAGATAAATACTAAGAACAAACTCATAACTACTAGTAACAAGGACTGTTGATCCAATAGTGTGAGCTTATTTGCTTTTGGCCAATTCTCAACATAGAGCTTACTTTTATTTGTTTCCCTTTTGTTGTTTTCATTAAAGGTCATGGAAGTGCTTATATCATTACAAGGATTACAAGTGAATGATCCTACAACTAAGTACGTGCTAGGCGTATTTGTTAATCACTTGATTTTAATATCAAAAGTTCTTTATAGATTGCCCCCCACCCCCCTTATTTTCTTTATTTCGTTGCAGGCATGTACTAGAATTTGCAAGTGCATGGGACATGATTTTCTTCCTTATATGAGTGCGATCATGCCATTTTTAATTAAATGTGTTGAACTTGAACCTGTTATGAGCATATTTGCGAAGTTGGATTATGAATATTACGAGTTAGATGATAATAGGTAAGCTTTTGTCATTGAGATTTTTGGACAATGAAAATTATGAGTTAGATGATAATAGGTAAGCTTTTATCATTGAGATTTGACCATCTCGGCGGAGCTTTTGATACTGTTAAGAAATGGACCTTAAGTTTAACTCAATCCCAAAATTTAGCTCATGAGGTGAAGATTATATAAAACAATACAAGGAGATCAAGTCCCCCATCCACTACTAATGTGGGAATCTAACACAGCCCGCACGCTTAGGCCTGTCATTAGAGTATGGACAATATAATATTGGGTCCCAAATAGGGTAAACCAAGAATTTAAATGAGTTTTGCTCTGATACTATGTAAAAAAATAGACTTTGAGCCTAATTCAACCAAAACATTAGCTCTTGAGATGAGGATTGTACAAAATCATGAAACCAAGTCCCACATCCACTACCTATGTGGGAATCTAACAACTGTGATTGATGTCTAGTTCGTGCTTTGGATTCATAAAAAAGGTGAAGCCTATTGGGGAGAGGTGGTTATCAGGGACAAGGTATACCTAGGATCTTACTTAAGTTTTACATCTTACAGTATAGTGAAAATCAAGCTTGGAGATAAAACGATGTTCAAGAAAGGAGATGCCCCAGAGGAGAAAGTTGTAGCCTATGATATGCTATGCTGGTACAGTGATATATTGCAGGAAGACTTCTACCCATGGATTTCCCAGGTTGGCTTGAATGATCGATCACTTTCATATTTTCTTTTTCTCATGTGCTGTTAAGTGAGGTCAAATTGAACAAGGGATATCAATGACTTTGATACGAGATGGAAGAGTCTAAGCTTGCGGAGGTTGTACCTGGAGCTTTGGGGAAGGAACATTTCCGTTAATTCAGCTAGAAGGCTTAGCTGATTCAAAGTTATTAGTTAGTACACTTTAGTCCCCTATAAGTTTTATAACACATATTACTTATTTATAATTAAGTCCATGAGTTATCCCGTTAGAGTACCTTTTAGTCCATCACAGGTAGTTATGCTATTTTATCCTGTAGCAGCTGAGTGGGAGATAAATACCCTGTAATTATCCATAATCATCACTAATCAAATTATGCTATTTATTTTACCCTAGTTCTTTAACGTAGTTGTAATTCCATTTCCTTCTTCTTCTTTTTTAATTTTGCATCAGTGGTATCGGAGCATGATCTTGCTCTGAGGATTCATGGCGACTGAGATGTTAGAGGTGATGTCACTCCTTCACAAAATGTCTGTTGATATGGTGAATTTAAATCAGAGGCAGGACCAATCCGAAGGTCGACAAGAAAAAACTATTCAGAATCAAGATTCTGCCATGTGTGAGCTTGGGGAAGTTGTTGCAATAGGGAAAAGACCAGAAAGAGACAAAGACATCAACCCCAGAGGAGTAGAGCTGTACTCCCCATCGAATACCCCATTAAGGTTTGGAGATCTGATTTCCCCTTTCCCTGCGAGCTCAAGTTTGAATAACTCAAGCAACACTCACCTATTAATTTTAACCTTCAAGGTACTGTTCCATTGCAAAAACCCTTTCCTATGGTATCAACTCCTCCTAATTTTCAAACGAGCAACCCTTTTGTTAACTCCCCAGTGCAAATTTGCTCATCTCTCATTCCTACGACTCAAAACCCGTCGAACTATAGTAATTTTCCCTCACAAGTAACAACTGTTGTGAGCAATTTAACACCAGTAACCTTTGCTCCTAACACCTCCACACAGCCATACCCCCATAACCCTAACTCAACAAATTTACCTCCTACCCTCCCTAATTATAACTTACCCTCCACAGTCCCACAGTCTTTCACCACAACCTGAATAAGGATGGCACTACCCAATACACTAGCCCTTTGGCCAAGGAACCCCTTTGGGAATGTCACTGCCTTACAATTCCTATGTTAAATTCCCACCTGCTTACAATACTCAGCCCACACACATTCCTCAACCCCTTTACCATCAGATCCCCTATGCACAAAATAATTCTCCCTACCACACACACCAGAACTATGCTAATGTGCCCTTGTCTAACATCCCTTTCACTAAATATACCAAGGTGGAATTCCCTAAGTTCAATGGGGAAGATCTGAGAACATGGTTGTACAAGGTGGAACAGTTTTTCTCTAAAGAAGATGTCACCATCCAACAAAAGATGAAGTTGGTATCAATGCATTTTGAAGGAGATACCCTGCAATGACATTTGGGGTACATGAGGAGTAGAGGGCAAATGCCTCTTCCAACATGGGAGGAGTACTTATGGGCATTGTGTGGCAGTTTTGGAGCAGAATATTCAGATCCTATGACTAAGTTGTTGAATGTTAAGCATATAGGTAGTGTGAAGGACTACCAGAGAGCCTTCGTTAGTGTCATAACCAGGCTCAATTTGTCAGTAGGGCATGCTATGAGCATTTTCCTAAACAACCTCAAACTTGAGATTAGTAATGTTGTTAGAGTTGAAAATCCTTGTACACTTCCACAAGCATACTATCTTGCTAGGCTTCAGGAGACCAACTTTGCAGCCCAAAGTCAAGCCATCAGGAGTAGTGTTTCTGGTTCTTTTTCTCATAAAGGGCCAATGGGGCATCATTATAGCACAACACAGAAGAACACCACCAACAACTTGAGGAAACCTGTTACTGCCAAAATGGATAACAACAGGAGAAGAAGGCTTTCTCCAGCAGAGATGGTAGAAAAGAGAGCTCAAGGTTTATGTTTTATTTGCGACGAGAAATATGTGTTTGGTACTCCATGTTGGAAGGCAGTACACCAGTAACCTCCAGGTACTCCCCAATTCAAAAAGATGTGATTGAGAAGATGGCGCAGGAATTACCAAGTCAAGGTATTATCCAATATAACTCTAGTCCTTATGCTTCTCCTGTAGTGTTATTTGGCAAAAAGGATGGATCGTGGAGATTATGTGTTGATTACAGAGCCTTGAACAAGTTGACTGTGAAGGATAAGTTTCCAATTCTAATTATTGAGGAGTTGTTGGATGAACTAGGAGGGCCACAAGTCTATTCTAAGTTGAACCTAAGAGCTGGCTACCATCAAATAAGGATGGCTTCTACAGATGTTCCAAAAACTGTTTTAAAATCCACTTTGGCCACTATGAGTATATGGTTATGCCATTTGGGCTAACCAATGCACCTTCTAGCTTCCAAGGACTAATGAACCACATCTTTCAGAAACATCTTAGGAAATTCATCTTGGTTTTCTTTAATGATATACTAATCTACAATAAAAGTTTGGAGGAACATCTGAACCACCTTAGGGCTGCTTTTGATTTACTAGTGCAACATCAACTGTTAGTGAAGAGGAGTAAATGTGTCTTTGCTGCTGATAGAGTGGAGTACTTGGGGCATTACATCTCAGCAAAAGGGGTAGAGACAGACCCTAAGAAGATAGAAGTAGTACAATTATGGCCAACACCTACTTCTGTCAAGTTACTAAGGGACTTTATAGGCTTGACTGGATACTATAGGAGGTTCGTTAAGGGGTATGGAGTCATTAGCAAACCCCTGACTAATCTCCTCAAGAAATATGGCTTTAATTGGTCTGAAAAAGCCAATGAAGCTTTTGAAAAACTCAAAGTGGCGCTCACCACAGCTCCGATGCTGATCCTGCCTAATTTTTCCTTACCTTTTATGGTAGAAACAGATGCTGCAATGTGGGTATAAGAGCAATTCTGATGCAAAAGGGGCAACCAATTGCCTTCCTTAGTAAAGGCCTATCAGCACAGCACCAAACACTGTCTGTATATGATAAGGAGCTTTTAGCACTTATAATGGCTGTGACTAAATGGTCTCAGTACTTAACTGGGAGGACTTTCATTGTTAAGACATACCAGAAAGCTTTGAAGTTCCTACTTGAGCAGAAGTTACATACAGGAACACAATTAAAATGGATTACAAGGCTCATGCAATATAATTTTACAATTGAATACAAAAAAGGGAAAGAGAACAAGGTTGCTGATGCCTTATCCAGATTACCTCTAGTGGAGCTAACAACATTAACCTAGTCAACAATGAAGACTGACCTACTGAACTTGATTATGCTAAGCTGGGAAAATGATCCTTCATTGAAAGAACTAATCCAACTCTGATGAAAGGAGAACTTGAAGGCAAGGGGTACTCTTTCAACCTATGTTACTCGGACTCTTCAAAAATATTGTTGGGTACGTTTCGGATCCTCCAAATTTAGTGTATTTTTGGAGGATCTGACACGGGTATGGGATCACTTTTGGAGAGTTCGAGTAACATAGCTTTCAACCATGGACAATTAAGGATGAATGGAAGAT